ATCCAGGCCCTAAACCCGACAAAATCCAGGCCCTAAACCCGACAAAACTGAGACCCAAAGCCAACAAAATCCAGATGCAAAATGCCCAAAATCTTGGGCCTAACGTGCCAAAATCCAGACTCTAAATCCACCAAAATCCAGGCCCCAAAACATCCAAAATCCAGATCTAAAATCCCCAAAATCCAGGCCCCAAACCCACCCAAAACCCAGGCCCCAAAACATCCAAAATCCAGATCTAAAATCCCCAAAATCCAGGCCCCAAACCCACCCAAAACCCAAATCCCCAAACCCAGACCCCAAATCCCCAAACCCAGACCCAAAACAGAACTATGGGCAGTTGCGATGGAAGCAGGTGAGTTTCAGCACCCAATCTGCCCCCCGATCCCAGCAGGAGGAAGGAATTCCCAGTGCCCCCCTACCTTGCTGACGTTGAGGGAAGCTAAGGGGGGAGGCGTTTCCGTGTGGTCATTGATTATTTCCACTTCTGACACATACTGTAAGTTTACGAGCAGGATGTCTGCGTGGTTGGGCTTCCCACTGGAAGAAGGGCATTCTGGAAGGGGGAAAATTAAGGAAAACGAATCCAGAGGGAGGTATTTATGGGCTTGACACAGCCCAGGAGCAAACTGGGAGAAGGTCTGGTTGCCAGTGAGTTCCTCCACTCCCGTGTCCCTGCCCAGCCAAGCTTGGGGTCATCCATGATCCCAGGAAAGCCACACGTCTCTTTTTGGGGTTATTTAACGCTGATCCCAGTTTTCCTGACTCCAGATTGAGTTTTCCAGCCCCACCCAGCACAGCCCAGTCACTGGTTTGAACCAGTACCACCAAATCTGCACTTTTTACACCAGAGTATTTCCTCTGGCAAGAAGTGGCTCAGCCAGAGGAGCATTCCCTCACCTAGATGGAAAAGAATTCCCAGGAAAGGCCTCCTTGCCCTCACGCACGAGGTTGGTATCACTGTTGCAAATACCCCCACCCCCTTCCAGAACTGACAATTCATGGACTGCATGGATTTCTGCACTATCTGTTCCCATGAGGATGGACAGAGCAGGGAGCATAGCATGGAGACCCTCTTCCATGCCAACACCATCTCCTCATGGAAGAGATCCTTGTGGAAGTCCCAGTTCCTCTCTCCCAGCCCTCCGTGAGCCCAAGGTGGAGCCCTCCCTAAAAAATGCCATTCAATAATGAGGAGAAAGTAAGGGATGCCAGGGAATTCCTGCACAGAATTCTGGTCTCTCCCTTCAGGAGGATGAGCTGGAGCATCCCAGCTTTGGCATGAGGAAAACCAGGCTCAGGGAAAAGCCAGAAGAGGAGCACTCAGTCCCCTCTGGAGCAGATCAGCAGCACTGAGACACCTGTTGGAAATCCTCTTGGATTTTCCTGCTGCCCCCAGTGGCATCTGGGAGCTCCTCCAACTTCAACCACATCCCAGGCACCCAGGGAGGCTTTTCCCATCGTGTTTCCCACAGCTCCTGCCACAAACCCCTCTCCCTGCCCCTCATTCCCTCTGAAACCCACCCTTGGGCTCCCAGAACTCCAACCTCAGACCCAGGGCTGAGAACCCCCTTTTCCCCCTCTCCACGGTCCCTCCACGGTTTTCCAACAGCCCTTGGCTTTTCCCATTCCTTGCAGATTCCAAACAAAAGCATATCCAAATACATGTATATTGGGGGGCCCACAGCACCCCCAACCCCCCCCATCTCCTTCACTTCCCAAGGTCTTCTCCCAGCACACTGGAGAGTCCACTTGTGTCCCCAAATCTCTCCTACACCCCCCTGCACCCCCCAACCCTCAGACCTCATTCTGACTCCCCTTAAATCCCCCACAGGGGTCTCTTGACCCCCTTCCTATGGGATCCCACCCCTCCAGGCCTCCCCCATCTTCCCTGGACCCCCCCAGGCCCTGCCCACCACACAGGACCCCTCTGTGCCCTCTCTGCACCCCAAAATAGGTCCCCGACCCCTTCCAGGAACCCCCCAGGGCTCCAAAATCTGCCCCCCCTCAAGACCTCCCTCCTCCTCCCTGAACCCCACAGGGTGCCCCTGTCCCTCCCAAAACCCCTCCAGCCCTGTGGGAAACCCCTGATCCCAGGTCCTTATGGAGCTACAGCCCCACCAAATCCCCTACAGGGATCCCCCAGAACCCTCCTACATGGCACCCACCCCCTCAAAACCCCATTGAGGCCTCCCCAATAACCCCATTCTGGAGCTCCTGAGTCCCCCAAAACCTCCCTATAAGGCACTCCCACCTTCCCCCCCAGTAACTCCACTAAAGGGCTCCTCAGTCCCTCCAAAACTACCCTACAGGGTGCCCCATTCCCCCAAAAAACCTCTATAGACACCCCACTTTGCCCTAATAACCCCACTAAAGGGTTCCCCACTCTCTCCTATTCACCCCACTAAAGGGCTTCCCAAAAAACACCCCACCCCCCCCCCCAAACCTCCCTATAGGGCATCCTCTTGCCCCCCCACTTACCCCAATAGAGGGCATCTCACTTCACCCCAAAAAACCCTATAGGACACCCCACTCCCAATACAGGGTTCCTCACTTCCCCCAACCACCCCAATACAAGGTTCTTCACTCCTCCCCAAAACCTCTCTATAGGGCACCTTCTTGCCCCCTCCTTCACCCCAATACCGGGCTCCCCATTTGCCCCCAAAAAACCTTATGGGGCACCCCCTTGCCCCCTCTTAACCCCAATATAGGGCTCCTCACACCGCTCCATTCACCCTAGTACAGGGTTCCTCACTTGCCCTCAAAAAACTCTCCCTATATGGTGCCTCCCCCAATAACCTCACAGCGGCTCTTCACTCTACCCCAAAACCTCCCAACCCCATTCATCCCAATACAGAACACCCCACTGCCCCTCAAAAAACTCTATAGGGCACACCACCCCCCATTCATCCCAATGCAGGGCTCCCCAATTCCCCTACCCAAAAAAAACCCTATAAAAAACCCACACTCACTCCATTCACCCCAATACAGGACACCCCACTCCCCCTCAAAAACGTCTCTATAGGGCACCCCCTTTCCCTTCCTTCCCCCCAATACAGGGCTTCTCATTCCCCCCACTCACCCCAATCCAAAGCTCTTCACTCCCCCCCAAAACCTCTCTATAGGGCATCCCCTTTCCCTTCCTTCACCCCATCACAGATCACCCCACTCCCTCCCCAAAAAACCCTGTAAGACACCCCGTTCCCCCATTCACCCCAAAACCGGGCTCCTCACTCCCCTCCAACCACCCCAATACATGGCTCTTCACTCCCCCCAAAAACCTCTCTATAGGGCACCCTCTTTCCCTCCCTTCACCCCAAAACAGGGCTCCTTACAGCCCCCCATTCACCTCAATACAAGGCTCCTCACTTCCCCCAAAAAACCCTATAGGACATCCCCCACTCACCCCAAAACAGGGCTCCTCACACCCCCCCATTCGCCCCAATAAGAGGCTTCCCACTCCCCCCCCAAACCCCCCTGT